CACATATGAGTAGTATGAAAATATTGAAGATTTGTACAGTAAAGTGATGTTCAGCAGCAGTTTGAGTTTCATTTCTACTAAAGAAATCACTCCGCTTGCTTTGCTATCTGAATTTCTTTGTTTCTTTAAATATCTATTGTGTCTGGTAACTGTTCTAATAAATCGGAATGTTTCTGGGCTATAGCAAATTCTTTCAAGGAGAAGGAAGAGGGACAGTTAGCAGTGCTTTATTGATTCCTACAACGTTACGTATACGGAAAGAACACTTATCTATTGTATCCTTCCAGTTACATGTGACAACTTGAAAGTTTCCTCCCAAATCACAATTCCCTAAACATTTCGTTCATTTTTTTTCAAAAATTTTCTCGACCTACCTCACTTACGAAATGGTTGATCCCTAATCAAAACATTACTTTGCACAATCGAAATCTGTGCGACTTCCATGTTATTGTACTGGTGCAACAATAGGAACATGTGAAATATGCCTGGCGGCTTTGGCCGGCCATGGAGGTAATAATGGGCCGGCGAACTGGGGTCAATTTAACATCATTGTTAAAAGCATCTATTGTTACATGTACTGAGGCAGTAGCGACCGAAAAAAAATTGTTGAACGAATTTAGTTTAGACAACGAGACGATACTGCACACACATTTCCTCGCAGTGATCGATACACACTAACGCAGGGCTAACGGAAACGACTCTTCTTTTTGACCCAAGTTATCATAACCCCGACAGAACAAGAACGCACATGCGCAAGGCTAATTAGCATAATTTATTTGGATGGATAAACAGGCATGGCCGTTGCGTTGATTTTTTTACTTTTTGCTATCAGTTCCAGTTACATGCGTATTTATCGGTAATTATAGGAGTTCAAAGTGAATAAATATCGATACTAAATAACAAGTGAGCTGTTATGTTTTTTTTGTTGGTAATCAATTCGATCGGGGATTTACCGTCGGCATTTCGATTCACCCCAGCCACATGCATAGGGACCCTGACTGTGTCCTGGCGACTCACAACTTTTGCGGGTCGTCATCGTTGTGATTGCTCGATTCATTAATTGAACAAAATTGTAAGTTATTCCAATGGTATACATATTTCAACAAAACATTAATGACAGCATGTTTTTTTATCAAGACACTTTCAAATTCGTAATTATGTTTTTGGCGTTCCATAGCCATCGGTACGGTGTGCTTGCCGTGGTAAACTGAATTATAAACAAGAATAAAACATAATTGCCGAAGCCATTGGTTGAATGAAAGGTGTGAAAACGTGCTAACTTTGTCCTTTGTGAGCTTATTAGTTGTCTGAGGTGGAAGGCAGTAGTCTGCAAGACATCCGGGAACTATGTCCGTTATATGCAGTTCAACTGTTCACTGCGGCCGCTGAAGCGTGGCCGTTGGCCGCGTTAGGCAGGTGGCCGCTGTAAACAGGGTACTTTACATGTAAAATTCGTAGGGACTGTTCGGTTGTGACCGCTATAGGCAGGTGGCCGCTATATCCAGGTGGCCGTTAACACAGGTTTGACTGTACAATGTGACATCAAGTCATAGTGAACCAGAGAAACTCGCGAACTTGACGAAGGACAAGAAATATGATCATGAGAAACGTGTTCAGACATTCAAGTCACATTGGACAACTGAATTTCCTTGGGTACGCTACGATGAAGTTATGAATACTACATGTATGTTCTGTGAATATTGCCAAACTTAGTGAAAGGAACGACTAATTTGAAACTCGATCCGCTACGATTTCACGATGTCACCAACGAACACTTATCCTGTAGCCGACAGTTCTTGAGAGATAAAGATGGCCAAGCAGCAACGCCAGTGTCACAGTAAAATGTATTTGAAACTCGTATCGTCGAATCCTTCACGCGAATGGGTAAAGAAAACCAAGACCGAATAAGATATTTATTCAACACCGCATATGCGGTCGCCAAAGCAGGAAAGCCTTTTTCTGACTTCAAATTTATTTGTGGTATTCAAAAGAAAAATGGATTAAAGCTTGGAGAAAATTATGTTAATAGTCATGGCTGTACGGAATTTATGGAACACATTGCTTCAACATTAAGAAAGGACATTTCCAAAGAAATTGAGACAGTGAATTTTATCAGTGTTCTTGGCGACGGTAGTACCGACAAATCAATTATTGAACAGGAAATTATCTATGTGCGCTATGTTGGGCCACGTACCAAGTTACCTGTCACCCGCGAGGTTGCGATTACATCGGTAGAAAATGCCACATCACAGGGGGTTTTTGATGCCTTGACGAATGGATTATCAAGTGTTGATTTAAATTTGGACAATCTCAACCCTGATAGGGAGAAAAAAACATCTCTTATATCATCAAACTTTGATGGTGCCTCCGTGAATATGGGAAAGAAGACGGGTGTCGTCACGAAAATAAAAGACGTTGTCTCGTCATCTATTGGTATTCATTGTGTGGCGCACAAGTTGGAATTGGCGATTTTGGACGCTTGTAAAACTGAAACAAATATCAGACTTCGAGGCCACGTTAAAGGGGATATTTCATTTTTACCACTATTCTCTGAAACGTCGACTAACTTTTTAAAGGGGAACAAAGGTGGTGGCTTTTGACACTCTGTACATGAAATTTGAGATCTATGAATGAATTCTGTCGATAAAACACTTGTATGTGCTGCGAAATGCCCTAAATA